GCAGCTTGGCCGGGGCCGGGTTTGAACCTGCCACCCTCGGTATACCGGGCCAGTGCCCTATACACTGAGCCACAGGCACCACCCAAGTGATCTTATTTGGACAAAGAGTCAACACACATATAATTAGTTAAGATCAGGCCATACTGAAGGAGGGTGGGTACCTAATCCAAAGTGACTGGTATTCTAAAAAAGGAGACATATGGACAGGGACAAACACACATGCAGGGAGAATGCTCCCCGAAAGATGACGGTGGAGATTGGTGACATATCTAAGAAGCCAAGGAATCTCCAAGTTGCTGGGAAGTCACCAGAATCTAGGAGCGAGGCATGGAACACAGCCTCCTTGATCTTGGACATCCTGCTGTTTAGAAGTGTTGGTTAAGCCGCTTAATCTGCAGCACTTTGTTACAGCAGCCCCCTACCCTACCCTCCCCCCACCCCCAGCAAACTACTACAGTGAGTACCATGTGTATCTTTAGGAATGATTAAAGTGCAGAACTCTAAATGTGATATTTTTAAAAATTTGGTAGTCTATTAGAGTGACAAAACAGCAATGATCTGCTTGGGAGGGAGCCCAAACGAGGGTCTGGGGTATCATTATTTCACTCCGGAAGTGTTTCCAAGGAAATCAGATCGCCACAGCTGGAGTAAGGCCTTGCTCTAAAGTCAACTCTCTTCAAACAAACGTCCATGTTGCAACTTCCCAGGTTACAAAGATGCCCTAAACAATACAAGCTGGTAGGCATTAGAATCTGAGTCCAAATCTCAATTTCACTAATTTCAATTACATGAACTAGGATAAATCATTAACATTTTCAAATGCGCTTTTCTTATCTATAACATAACAAGAAAAATAGTATCTACCCCTAAGTACCTCATAGGGCTATTTCAAGGATTAAATGAACTTCACATCCTCAATCAATAAATGTATTAGACTACTGTGACATCCTTTATCTAGGAAACACTACCCTTTACAACTTAGCATGTGTTAAAAAAACTTAACTCTAATGAAGTTGAATATTACTATTATGATCCCTTGAGAAACCTATAAATACATATAGAGAGAAATAGTGCATAACTTGCTATGTTAACATAATCTGGAATTAGGAAAGTAATTCATAAAATGGATTTCCAGATGTCATCAAGACGTGCCATGTTACCAAGACATGATTTGTTACTGGAAAAACAGATTTGGGGCTTTTAAATTTCAGCTGCAGTAGAATATCTATTTTGCTCTTAGTTTTACAACATATTCACCCATTGTGAACACTGATGTCACTCACATGAAGGTAATGACTCTGGCTTATCAAGTAAAAAATGAGCTTTCTAACTCCTGAAGAGAAGACAGCTGTCCCCATTCACCTCAAGCCTGAGGATGGAAGGGTTTTTAAGACTGTGCGTCTGACTGGGGTGAAGGTGAAGCTGGGCAGAGCCCAGGAACACAATGCCATCCAAGTCTACAGTAGGATTCGCTAAGTAAATAAACGGAAAAAATATTTCAAATGCAGATCATGTCTCCTACTCTGCAACTCAGTTTATTTATAGGTAGCCTCTTACGGATGCACAAGGAGCTAACGGTACACAATGCTTTGGGTTTTATTTCAGAATGTTATTTCAGAATGTTATTTTATTTCAGAATGTTATTAAATTCAGTTAAATTTTTTTAAGGTGATACCCTCCCTGCCCCCTGATCAAACCAATGGGGTGGAACCATAGCACAACCTCCGGATGGAGCTGTCTTTCTCAGTGCCCTGAGAGCACACCCACCCCCCTGAGCATCCCACCTCTGAGCCTTAGCTCCCCTACCTGCTCCTCTGGTCACACTCCTGTGGCAAAGGTCCTGAAATCAAAATCACCACCTTCAAACTAGCAAGCCACTGGCAGACCAGATTCCTCCAGCCCTCCTTCCCTTCACAACATGAACTCAGTATTGCAAGCTGTAAAATGTCCATGCGCCTATTTAACATAACAATAATAATAATAATAATAAAGTACCAAGAAAATGAAAGCTGTTGCAGAATCCCCTTACAGATAACCATTTCAGGAAAAGGTCAAAATAACCTTAGTAGTGAAGCCCTTATGTTCTGGCCGCACGAAGCGGCCCAAGTCTTCCCTCCTGGTACAGAACCGAAATCCCCTCCCCGCATCCTTCACACAATGTCCACTTCCATCGCTCTTCTGCTGAGGTCTTGATTTCCTGGGTCACAGGTTGGAAAATGTACTGGTGGTGGTATGCTATCAAATTCACACTAGTTTCCACAGTTAAATGTTTCCATTAATTGAAACTTGGGATACATCTTCTGAAAAATTAAAACTTATAAATCACAAAAATGACCTAATTTCCCACTGTATAATCTTCTCATTTCCATGATTTCTCCTGCCTCAAAATTCATCAGACTTGAAGCATCTGACAAAGCAGCAGGCACATGAACTATGCGTGAAACATGAGCGATGCCTTCAGCTACCTGAGCTGTCAGCAGACATCAGACCTCGGGCCAGAATATTGAAAAGAAGACACTTGAAGAAAAGTTACCACAGCCTAACACTGGCAATGGGAGACTCAGTTTCCAGTTTCCATAGGACCAATAACCAACCACAAACGTAGTGTGGCATAAAGAGAATAGAATTGTATTTCCTTTCTCTGTTCCAAGAGTACATACATAGGTGTGTGTGTGCACGTGTGTGCGTGTGTCTCCTTCTATAGCTATAAACAGAGAGAGATATATCAGAGGGTATATGGTATGTATCTATACATATCTTTACATTATCTACTTCTAAACAAAAGAGGTATCTGGCTGAAGTAAAAATATTATAATTAGCAAAATGATAATATAAAAAATTACTCTTAAATAAACGTAGAAAGCATATAAAGAGTAAAAATATGTAACTGATACTTAAGATTTCTTGTACTGTTTGGTGAAAAAATATTTTTTTAAAAAATGGAACAGAGTAATGCTATCATTATAATTATTATTTGAAACACCAATGTAAAAAGTTAACTATATATAATCTCCTATACCAAGCAAAATACTCCAAAACTCACGAGTGACCAGGGTTTTATAGAATTCCTTTTGAAAATGTACAAGACATTTCAGGCATATACACTTAACATTAATTTCTAGAATGCTTCATTAAAAAGAGCTGTCAGACAAAGGCCTTGCATTTTTTTAAATACAAATATCCTCCCCTGGTAAGGGAGGACCTTTCAGAGGATGAACCTCTAGTTTAACATACATGTATTACCATCTTAAGTAAGAGCCCGCCCACCTTCCCATCTGTATGAGAAAATGCTTCACAAAGAAGTCTGTATCTGTATAGCTCCAGACCTTCACAGTTAATATTTGAATTCTCACCTTTATAAACGTATTTATCAAAGGTGCATCCAACAGCTTGAGTGTTTTGGCAGCAGTAATGTAAACAGCCCGACAAGGAAGGCTGCACAGAGGTGTCAGACATGGAAACACATGAACCAGGCAAAAAAGGGTAATGTTAATTAAGCACCTAAAAACCACATTTCTACATCTGAGTAGCAGGTCAAATCCTAGGGTATCAGATAACTCTGACTACCCACTTCCAGGCCTTCCAGGGACGGACAGTGGAATCTCACAGACTTTGTCCTCTGAACACAAGAACTTTACCCAGGGGGTAAAGTACCAGCTTTGGATGCTTCTGGGGTAATGGGAAGAACCATCACCAATTCATCTGCTGATTACAGCTGAAAAAAAACTTGTAAATAATCCTCAGAAAATGACAGAGTTAATTGGTACAAAAATACAGTTACATAGTGGTTGTAAGATTTAGTGTACAGGGCAACTTTAATTCACAATAATTTACTGTACACTTTAAAATAACAGAGTGGATTTAGAATGTTCCCAACACAAATAAAGACTAAATGTTTGAGGTGACAGATATCCAATTACCCTGATTTGGTTATTACATATTGTATGCTTGTGTCAAAATATCATGCATGCCATATAAATATGTACAATTACTATTATGGTATCCATAACACTTTTTTTAAAGAAAAAAAATGACACTTTAGTATTAGAATCCCCTTTAACCCTGAATTCCACATTTCAGTTTGGTTTCTAAAATCATGGCTTGTGGGTTTCTCAGCTCAAGAAAAAATATTGACATTGTAGTACCCAAATTATACTTTATGTTCTTTCCTTCAGAAACACAAATTCTCCAGCGAATCCTCTCATCTATTAAGAAGATAGGGGATCGTCCTACCTAGTATTCGCATCGCTTTTTAAAAAAATAAAAATAAAATGCTATTAAGTAATCCTCAGGTATGGTAACTTTCAGCCAGTAGGACCAGGAACTCACCGTTTAGCTCCAGTCGGGTATTTAAGAGGCCATTAGACTCCTGGAGTCAAATGTCTTTTTCGATGTAGGTGAAACAAATGTAATCAACAGACTCAGTTGACACTTGGCTAAGAGCAGGCTAAGCAAATGGTGATTTCGCTTAAGGTTGGGAGAACTAAAACCCAAGGACCTAAGAGCTTGGGAAGAGGAGGGGAAAAGGGTTTGACTCCTACAAGTTTCCGCAAGTGGTTAACACAACTCTGGGAAACAAATCCCAGGACTGACCCCACCACCACCTCGATCACTTCTTCCTTCTGCCCACCCACCGCCCCAAAGCAAAAACACAGCTACTACAGCACCGCTCTCCCGTTACGCAGGAGGCTGGGACCAGCTCCCGGAACACAAAGCCGATGCCGGCGACCAAGGACCACACACGTGGGGGCGATCGCGGGCGCAGAGACCAGCTGGGAGGCCCACGCCCCCGCCGGGCACAGCTGGTGACCGTCACCTTTGGACTGGCGCGTTCCCCGAGGCTAGGGCGGGCTGCGCGGCCCTTCCGCCTCAGCCCGGCGCGCAGGGCCGGGACCTGGGGTACTCCGGGCACCTGAGGAGCGCAGCGGAGGCGGGGACGGCACCGGGGCCGCTCGGGGTCGGGGGAGCGGCGGAGCGCGCGGCCCTCCCGCGAGACCCACCTGGATCTGCAGCGGCACCAGGCGCACCTTGCAGCGCTCGCTCACGGCGAAGCCCTTGGGCAAGTCCACGTACTGGCCCCACTCCTCGGCGAAGAGCTGCACCACGAATTTGCGGTGCATGTCGATCTGGTCGCCGTACAGGCTGAGGAACTTTTGGATGAGCAGCTCGTAGCCCGCGCCATGCGGCACCGACGAGGGCCGCGCGAAGACGGAGAAGCAGAAGAGCACCGGGACCGAGCCCGACGGCGCCCCCGCGCCCACGCCGCCGC